CAGGCCCTCTGCAGTCTGTGTTTCAAGGTGTCTCTGTAAGGCTGTGATATCCATCTGATGCTCACTTAAATCACAAAATATAATCATGATGGCAATGATGGGAGGCTGCATGTGTAGGTACAGATCACTTTGGTGCTATCATGAGCTTGATCTTGGACTTAGGACATATCCTTATTGTCTCTGGGCTGTATCCAGGAGCACTGCCATGAAGTGTGCTCTGACCACTTGCTCTATCTCCATATGTGCTAGATTCTAGGAATGAGACAATGTAGTTCCTTTAGGTATACACTAATAAGGATGCCCAAGCCAAAGAGCAGCACTTGTATGTTATGGCATCTACAAGTGTCTGCTACACCTGCTGTGACACTAGCAGTAACCCATTTTGGGGAGTGGGTATGTACAGAGTGAGAGTGCGTGAGGGGGCTATTCTTCATAGTGGATTTCCCAGGCACAATGCAGAGGTGGCGCAGATATGCTTAATAGCTTGCACTGGTGCTATATCTCTTTTTCCCTCTTACTCAGTGTTTTTTCCATGACTTCTCTTCTCTGCTGCCTTTCACTGTCTCCTCTCTTCCCTCCTGTAAAATTATGCCTCTGTTAAAACATATGTGCAAATATGAATTCCTATAAACATATTAAAATAAGAGATGTGCACCAATGCAAATAGTAAACATTAAAAGTAGTCTGTAAATCTACATAATTGGTTTTACTGTTGAAACCTAAAGCAATTAAATTCCAAAACCAAAAAAAAAAAAAAAAAGAAGAAGAAGAAGAAAGAAAAGAAAAATTACCTAATAATTTATGTTGTTTATGTATTTAGCTGGCTGCACCATTTCAGTTTTTACTTTGGCTGAACTCAGTGTAACGTAGTCGACATACAAATATCAATGTGAAATTTTGCATTCATAACACATGAACTGCTTATGAATTTATAGCTTGTAATTTGTGCATGAACTGGACTTCACAAGAAAGACAACAAAATGCTGTGTGAACTGAAATTAGCATTCTCACAGGGCTATTTCTTGCTGTTTTGTTATCTGATATCTCATACATTTATCAGGAAGCTGATTACCGCATTATAAAATAGTGATTATAGCAGAGTTCTCTTTAAGGAGATGCTTGTGTTACTCTTCCCTCAGTAAGGTAACCAAATGTTGGGCATTCAAGAAAACTTGAAATATTTGGATACTGCCACTAGATTTCTTACATAGACCTGGAAAATCAGCAGTTTAAAACATATTTTGTTGAATTTTGCATTAAATGGCAATTACAAAACATTGATGATCTGAGTGTAGTAACAAAAACTAAGAAATTCAGATAAACGTAGGGGTCTGCAACTTGATTTAACACAGTTGTGCCAGCATAGGCCTGGAGGAACTTGTGATACTTAAATTATATTAAACCAATTTAAAATTAGGACAACACAGTGGTGAACCAGTCACATAGTGTTTTCTATGTATTTCCAGTTGTACATACATACACAAGAGCAATACAATAAAAGACAAAGTATTCTTACATTTAAGGAGATTTTGCCACAAGTCAGGTGGTTTTACTTTTATTGTGGCTCAGCAGAACCTGTCTTTATTCTGAAGTATGATGAAACATAGAGCTGGGTGAGTTTTGACCCAAACCTTTTTCAGTGAAAAATGCAGATATGGGGATATTAAATATTTTGTGAAAAGAACTTTAAATGTTGCTATTTTTCTCATTTAGAAAAAGGCAAAACTCAAGAAATTCCAAAAAGCCTTTTTGTTTAGAGGTTTCCTATAATTTTATTTTTAAAAAATTGTAAATATTTTAAATGGCTTAAGTTCAAAATAAAGTGATGTATTAAATCTTGTAATACTTTTCCATTTGCCAAAGAAATAATTTTGGGATCAAACTGCACTGAATATTTCTTGGACTTTACAGTGAACAAAAAAATCAATTTTTGGCTCAGCTCTAAACCTTTCTCTATTTTGAGGCCTAAGCATCGTCCTTAAGCTTAATTCCAGCTTGTAAAGACATTTGATGAAACAGCTGTCCTAGCTACCTGAAAGTCTGTGCTGAGCCTAACCTGCAGCACCTGTGCTGGCATTTTCTAAGCTCTAGGCATCAGATTCTGGAGTTGTGATTTCATGAATCTAGTGGCCTGTGAGATAGCTGATTATACAGATAAACCATTGCTGTTAAGGAGGTTTTGAAATACAGAGGAATTCTGATGTGAAGCTGATTCATTAGTTCTGCAAGATGGAAAGAGAGAGATCAATTGACAGGCTTATGCTATCACATTTAACTCTTCCTCCAGCAAGGGAATAACAGCCATTTTCTTCTTTTGTCTGGCAGTGCATTTCTTCACATTATAAATATGCAGTTATTGAAACCTCTTTACATCCTCTTTTCTTTTGGACACATAATTTTTATAAGCTAAAATAATTAGGAGCAAAACCAGATGACTTATTATTATGTTGTGTCAGTCAATGATCCCTTAAGAGCCACTTTCTACAGCAAAATCTATGCCTGAATCTTGGTGGCTCCACAGACTTCTGGAACCAAAAGTAGACTACACCACTTTGGGTTCTAGTTATTGTCCTCTCCTTAACTGCCAGCAGGTTAATTAAGCTTGCTGAGAGAGAGATAGATTGCTAATTGGCTCAGGTGTAGCATTTCATGAATGTGGATTCGTCCTGAATGAGAAACAGTATAGCTGCATTGACATGGTGCCAAGGAAGCAGTGCGTTGCCCCCTTTCAGGACATACAGCAGGAAGCTACCTGTTATTGTGAGAGCGTTGGGATGAGTGGGTAGGCAGCCCAGGGTCAGGATTTCCAGGATCAGTTTTTTAAACTTAGAACAAAAATATCCTGTTTCAGGGCTCTTCAGATATGCCAGGACACAGCCCCCAAATTTGGGACTATTCAGGACCGTCTTTACTTTAGCAAAGACCCTTCCTTCTCACTTGTGAATACAAGGATTCTTTGCATTTAGGAAGAGTGCTGTAATCTACTGGGTATCATTACCCCCATTGGCAAGGTACAGATGTTTAAAAAGACCAAGGAACCAGTCTAACTTATGTGGGCTTCTGTAAGTGGCCTAGGTTAACCTGGTAGCTAATAGAACACGTTGCCCTTTGGGGACACACAGATTGCCTGCAGCGGCTGAGGCCAGCAGGTTTGGGGGGCTCTTACATGCCTCCCAGCAGGCCTTGTAGGCTCCCCAGGCTGCCAGAGACTGCTGAGCGCAGCTGAGATCCTGGGCCACCCCTGACTGGCTACCAGGCACAGGCAAGCACACCCCCAAACTCGTGCCATGCCAGCCCACACCCTACATACTCCTGAAGCTTCCAGGGGCATCTGCCTTCTTGACCTAGCTTGGATGCTCAGTGTTCCCCCCATATGCTCTTAGGACTCTGGGACCCTGTACTCTTTTGACCTTGTGGGTCAAAAACTTCTTGCAACACCCCACGTGCCCATGGCTCAGGTAGGCAGTGGCTGAACCATGGAGGTCACAGGGTTGCTTCTGTGCAGGCACAATCCCAATGATCTGCCCCACTGCCACCCGAACCCACCAGACGTGAGGGCCCATATTGGCTTCTGCTTGGAGTGGGGTGGGGTGGGTGGGGGAAGACATGCTGGGGTCCAGGTGGCGAGATGTGTTGTGTGGGAGCCAGGCTTGTGGTCCATGGGGTTGTGCTCTCACACATGGGCATGGGAATCCCTGAGTGGGTGTGCAGGAGCCAGGGCTGTAGTCTGTAGAGCTGTGCCCAAGCACGGGAGTTCTCCTGGACTCCATGTCAGATCTGTGTGTACATCATAGGGTGCTTTGCGATGGGGTGTGGGTACACAGTGTTGTGTGCCTATGACACTATAATGGGTCTTATACCAGGCACAAAGGTCAAACCCAGGCCTGAAGGCCTCTGGGTCCCAACAATTGCCTAAGGACACAGGTACCCAGGTGCAGGGGCACAGGCACCTCCCTTTCTTCCCCTGCCCCACTGCCTGCTTACAGCTGATAGATAGCTAGAGGCAGGGCTGCAGAAAGTGTCTGTGCTGACTCTGGGAGAGTGTGGTGGCAGGGTTCCTTGGGTGCTCAGCCAGAGCAGTCAAGTGCTAGTGTACCTCCCTGCCAGGGGGGATGGGTTGTGGGGGACCGTGAAGGAACCTGGGATGCCAGAGGACAATGATTTTATTTGAATCGGTAGGTGATCTGGTATGGAAGTTCAATTTACCAATCTAAGCTAAATTAATTAAGTTTGAGCGCACATCGATCCAGGTCTGCCCTAGGCTGGGTTCCACAATTTTTAGACCAGTCTATGTGTGCTGAATTACGGTTATGGGTTTAGATCCATTTCCAATCACTTAGCTTCGTTTGTGTGTAATTTCTGTATCTGGCCCTTGTTACTGTTTCAATAATGATTCAAACAGAGATTTCTCAGTGAGTAGCAGAGTAGGTGGAAATTATATCACTAAGAACAAATATATGCAGTGCTAAATGAGGAGTAGAAACTTTTAATTTTACTAGTAATGGTTGTTGTTTTCCAAAAATGCAAATCTGCAGTCAAATCGACATTCATATAGTGGTCTCAAGTGACAGGAGTTGCTCAATGAAGAATTTAATCAAAGGCAATGCTATAGCAGTCCATCAATTTCCAACAGTTAACAATTCTTGTGCTGAGTAAAAGAGAAGCTTTAATTTTATGCAAAAGGAGCTAGGAAGGTAATGAAGAAACTAATGGTCAAAGCAGCATGCCCAGAAGTGGACTCAGACAGGCCTAGAACGGGGCTGGGGAAATCAGAAAAGCAGACAGTAACAGGAGAGAAAAGGTATTAGGGGGTCGCTGTTCCTTTCAAGCACCAGAATCCATTGTTTGGATGATGGGATGCTTCGATCTGGGATGCTGGGGAGACTGTGAGTTAATTTGAATCTGGAGGGGACCTGGGACCTCTCGGGCTCAGAGTGTATAGCTTTTACTGCTTTAGCAAGATAAGCACTTTTATTTAACTTTTCCTTCTTCTCTTACAGCCGTGGTAATGGTCCTGAATAGCATGAGTGTCAGCTGGAGTGCCCGCCTTCAGATTTTCCTTACCTTTTGCAAGCTTGTAGCAATTTTGATAATTATAGTCCCTGGAGTTATGCAGCTAATTAAAGGTATGAACTGAAAAGTAAATGCTTTTTAAGTGCTTTTTATCTTTGCCCTCCCACTCCCCCCAAATAATGCTTATACTAGCAAAATCTCTTAATTAGTCTATGCCTGTTTAACTTAAGCTCTGTACTGTCATGTAATAGATTAAAAACGGCACTACACTGAGATAAACTGGTATTTACAGCAGCATGCCAATGAGAACATTGAGACTGGACCCTACATTTTAAATGAAGGGAGACGGAATTGCTCCTCTCAGCATAAATGTTGTGCAGAATGAAAACTTATGAATGGGACAAAAACAGTGTCAGTGGCAAATGGACATATCCTGTTGTTCTGTATGTTTTAACAGACTGGACATTAGGGCTAAGTACAAAGAATCAGAAAGCCCAAAGCGGAATCAATTCACTTTTCACAACTTAGTTTAAGCTGCATAGCTTGAACTGATAAGCAAGTGAACAGACATTCACTTTTGATTCCAGAAATGGAGCTACATGCCTGCAGCGGCTCAGGCCAGAAGTTGGGGGGTGCTAGATCACACCTCCCTGCTCAGCTGGAGCAGACAGTTAGGGCCAAGGCTATCCTGCCCACCCTGTGGGAGGGGAGAGAGGGGGGAGGAAGGGTTGTGGGGGAGGTGCAAAGCATCTTGGGATGCTGGGAAAACTGAGTTAACTTGAATCTGGAGGGGATCTGGGACAGAAGTTGAATAAACCAATTTAAACTAAATCAGTTAAGTCTTATACTACATGCATCCAGGTTTATCTTAAACTGGCTTTGGCTATTTTGAAACCAGTTTATGCGCACTGAACTTCTGCTATGTTTCAGATTTGAATCAGTTTCTGATCACTTATACCAGTTTATGTGTAATTTCTGTCCTTAGCCTAGGAATTGTCAGGAAGAGCAAATTTACGCTTTATTGCCATTAACATTTAGCCCTGTTCCATATTGTATTTTTTATGAAATAGCACAGGAAGTTTTAGAATTTTTAGAAAGTCATGCATGCGAAGGCAAATGTAATAATGGGAACTAAATTACCACTTCAGCGATGTAAATCACAAATGCTACAACAGGGGTAGGCAACAGTTTTTGGCCAGAGTGCCAAAAACCCCACGATGCCTACCTTGGAAGGTGCCAGAGTGCCAGCATGCCAAAAAAACAAAATGAGGGCAGGGGGTGTATGGCAGGATGCCCTGCTTGTGCCCCTTGCCTCCCAGCCAAAGCCCTGTGCCCCCCAGTCCTGCAGCCCCTGCCCCCAGCCCTGCTCATGCCCCTTGCTCTCCACCCAAAGCCCCTGCGCCCCCAGCCCTGGCTCTGTGGCTGTCAGCAGCTACCCAGAATTTGGGCTAGCTGCAAATGTCTGCTGCCTCTCTGCCCTGGCCCCAGTCCCGGGCCTCAGGGAGGCAGCACGTACTGGCAATGCTCCCTGCTGTGCTACCCTTACCACTTCTGCAAAGCAGTGTTGGAACCTGGCACGGCAGGGCACAGTGTCGGGCGCAGAAAGCTGCCTGCTCCCAGCTCCCTGCTGCCCTGCCAGACTTCCCCTGTGTGCATGAGAGCAGCATGGGCAGCAGTGCAGGGTTGTGCCCCTCACTGCTGATCCCTGTGCTACAATATATGAGGTATGTAGTACTTGGGGGACAAACTTAACTGGCCTTTCCAGATGTTAGAGTAGTACGATAGTATCTGCAATTATTTGATGCTCACAATTCATGCACCCCTTATACTTTCAAGGGGAAGAATGAACATAAAGTTAGCAGTTTGGGGGTAGTACAAACCTAGTAAAAGAAATTTGAAGAGTTCATGGGTTTGTTAAACAGTATTAAACAGTAACACCAGGAATCCAAGAGTCATTCAGTGTAGGGAATAGAGGAGCTGCTGATTTTAGTAAGCCAGTGACAGATTCTGTCTGGCAAATAATCTAGGGTGCCGTCGTGGGGAAGATGCCTTTAAGTAGTTTCATATAGCGTCAACTTTGGGTCAGCAAGGTGGTGGCATGTGTGTTGTCCTCCCCCCTCCCCCGCCCCAGATTTTTTCAGGGATCCAGATAGCTCAACTTCTTTAATTCTCCATGGTAAGCAACAGTTTCTTACACAAAAGTCTCCCTTTGTAGGGCCCTGATTCACTAGAAAGATTCTTGGTCTCATATGTCTTTAATCTTTTTACAGATGTCATGTCTCCTCTCTATCACATTCAGGCCAAATCCTTGCTCAGGGCTAGATTTTGCCACCCTCTACTTATGATAAATAGTAGGTTTCTCAACATGACCCTCATCCAGCCTAATCTCTCTATGGCACTGCTGCCTGGTATGCTGTAGAGCCAATAGTCATGATAAGCAGTACTGTTCTTTGAGTCCTTGCACTACTGCTCCTTTTGTCTTTATGCCCTTGTAGCCCCCCAACACAGAGACACCAAGAATCTTGCCTTCAGTTGTTGTGTTCATTTCTTACTTGAACAAAATTTCAGGATCAGTGGGAATTTTGGCGAAGGACCAAGTGAAAACTAAGGAAGGGATTTATAATTTTATCCTTAGTTAATTAGGAAGCTGAACAGAATTCTGCTTATAATTACCATTATTCTGCACAGGCTTACAGCTTCCTAGAAAATCTAGGATACAACCATTTCAGCACAAGTTACATTATTTTTGATAAAACTACAGCAGAGAGAACAAGAGGACCCCTACTTGAGGGGCACTGCAAAGACATACAATTAAAGTTTTGTGTTCATTACAGCATATATCTGTACTGCCAGATTTTCCCTCCTAGCAGATTGTGTTACAATATTCCTGGCCAGATAGGAAAAGGATATCTGTAACCAAGTCTTTGTTTCACTGTGGAAATTCTTCATAGAATCCTTCAAATATGAAGGTTTATGATATGGGTTGTAAGAAAACCCAGTATTTCTAAGATATGAATGTTGATGTCCCTACAGAGAAAATTCTCGTATTTTTAATATCGTTCTTCTTTAGCTTTTTTCTCCCTGTAAATTAGCAGAAATGCATTCAAAAGCATCTTTACAGGAGATTAATTCTACAGGGTAAACTACTGAAATGATTTGTTGGAAATACAGGCTCATGCTACTTATTACTATATGTAGCCACCTCCTGGGCACTATTTTCAATATATTTACTCCTAAGTGTTTTAGCTGATAGCTGAATAATTCTTGTTTAATATAATGTGATTCATGGATATGAATATTATTCAGTAGGAAACCAGTGGGTGCTAATAGCTTAAATTGTACCAAGATTTTAGATATTAGGTTGCTTTTTTTTTTAAATGCTGTTTATGAGTGAAATGCTAGTAGTGCTCTGTGGGTGTGTCGACACAGTCATTAATGTGTAGTAGTTACTGTTCATTTAATTTAGTACTTGCTTAATGAAGTACTAATTAAATGCACAGTAACTACAGTTACTGCACAGACTGGCACACTGTTTTTTAGTGGTGCTTACTGTGCAGTAGCCTAATACTACTGCGCAGTAGATTATTAGCACAGTTTCTGCCTGGCACACTACTGCACAGTGTTATTAGCTACTATGCATTAAACGTCTCATGTAGATGCGCCCTGTGTGATTTTTAATTTTATAATCTAAATATATAAGAAAACTATAAAAATATTTGGACTCTATTCTCAAATGCAAGGGTACAAATCATTGCTGAGGTGTCTGGAATTGCAACAATGAGTAAGCCCAGAATCAGGGGCAAAAACGAAATTAGAATAAACATAGAAGGTCAAGCTCTGCATTCGACTGTACATCCGCCCCTTGAAACCTTGTGCAAGAGTCATCAGAATTTGGTTTTAAAGCCCATATATTTCAAAGCCATCTCAAAAGCTGAGGTCTAGTTAGTTGTGGGTGTTTGATTAACTTCGTTTCTGGTAATGATACAACGTTTTTCTTCCTATGTTCATAGGAGGCACAAAGTTAAAAATAACAATAACAAAAAACAGCCTCTTGATTATCAGTGAATGTGCAAAATCAATGAGATGAAATACAATTGATCAGTTTAGTTTGTACATTCTCATTTAATAGAAATGCGTGAATAATGCATATTCTGTAATTTCTTTGACACTGTTTGCTTCCTTTTCTGTTTACAGTTTGCAAATACTTTTTTTTCCCAAGCTTCTTTATTTGAAATTGTTCAGCAAAGAATTTCTCAAGAGTATTTCTGGGTATAGCTCATTGTGACTACTCCATATACATAGTTTCATAGTTGGTAGGGTTGGAAGGGA